AGAAATGTGAGTAAAGTGCTGTAGCAAGAGAATGATTTTAAAGCTAAAGCATAAGATTGTTGAAGCAGTAGTCAAACCGTCAATTTTATTACGCCCTCGTGGAGGACTATATATCTAATTTTTTAAAATGGTTCAATGGCGCATGTTAATGCACTGTTTCTGTTGAACTAAATTCCTGAGCTCTGATAAGCCACTTGAACTTTAAGCACTACATGAATAAAAAGGCATCCTGAAGTCCATTTCGCTTTTAAAATTGCATTTTCAGCATGGTATCAATTTCAACAATCGGGAACTGACAGTACGTGTTGTCATCGTCAATATGTTCATGTCAACCTGCAAGCACTTAGAAAGAATGATATGAATACTGCCATTGAGAGGGCATCAACGGAAAAAAAAGAATCAAAATAGTTATATAATAATAATACTAACCTATAAACGGTTGATTTATAATGAAGTAAACTAAAATCTAACTGATATTAATTGCAAATAAACGGCCATATTGCGACTGGCCAAACATCTGACTTCAATCGACAAATTTTTGTTCGTATTTACTTGATATCGATATTCTGAAAAGTCACGGGAGAATCACCTTAGGTCAGTCATTCTCAACCTGTGTCGAAGGATTTGCAGGTGTCGCGAGATTTTTGGAAACTATTGAAATTTCCTAGCATTTTAAAACTTGAAATAATTTCAGAAAATTTTGATTGCGCAATTCCAATTGTGATGATGGATCAAATCGTTTCAGTATGGCACCACTCGGTTGAGATTTCGAGATATTTGTTACTTTAAGTTTTACTTTAGCTAAACTTTTAACATATTATTTTTGAATTAAGTTTCTGAAACTGGCGGGGAAATCAACTTTGTGTACACTTCGGCTGATTTTGTGCTTTTTTGATTGAAGTAAGTTAATAATAATAATTATCAGCTTAGTTTTCGCGCTTCATAGTTATAAACGTTCTCTTTATTTAGCCATGGATAATTTTTTATCAAAATCGGTAGCTCCAAAAGAAATTGCCTTGAACCGAAAAAGGAACCAAGCGAAAATTCAAGGATGAGTACGTCGAGTTTAGTTTCATAGCATTAGGATATGAAGATGCTCAAGTTCCTTTGTTTGCTTTGCAACTCAAAGTTGTCGAACGAATCATTAGTTCCAAACAAATTGACAGGACCTTGCAGACAAAACATCCAGCACAGAAGAACATACCTAGAAAATATTTTGAGAACCTCGCTACTGAGAAAAACCAACAATCAAAAAAGCTCTCTAATTTCATGAAACTTTCGGGAAAAATGACTTAATACAGGGTTGCCCAGCGAATTGCAAAGCGTAACAAAGCTCACAACGAAGCCGAATCAGTCATCGCGCCAGCATTAGCAATTATTGTCGAAACCATGCTTGGATCTGATGCTGCAGCGAAAGTGAAAACAGTTCTTCTCTCAAATGACACAGTTTCGAGAAGAACTCAGGACTAGTCGTCTGATTTGCAAGATCAAATTTGTGAATACTTCAAGGAACCTTCGTGCGAGCTTTGGTCACTTCAACTCGATAAATCAACTGACATCAGCAGAAAAGCTCAGCATCTTGCATTTACTCGTTTCATTAATGATGGAAAATTTATGAACGAATACTTATTCTGCAAATATTTGCAGGACACTACAAAAAGAGACGAAATTTTCTATTAAAGTGAACGAGAACGTTTCGTTTTTCAATTTGATGCTGGAAAACTGCGTTAGTGTTTGCACCGACGGATGTACTTCAATGCTGGGAAAGAAAAAAGTTTCGTCACACGTGTGCAACAACAAAACCCTAACATAATAAGCGTCCACTGCATGATTCATAGAGATGCTCTCGCATTCAAACCATTGCCGAAAGATTTGCTGCCTCATGACACAACTTTCCAAGTAGTGAATCTTATCGAGTCTCACCGCTTCAAAATCTCGAATTTTTGCTCAACTTTCTAACGCAATGGATTCTAACTGCAAATACTTGCTTTACCACACCGAAGTTCGCTGGCTATCAAAAGGAAAAGTGCTTAAGGAACTTGTTCACCTCAAAGCAGAAATGATTTCTTTCCTTGAAACTGAAGAACATGATTTTGGTTTTGAGCTGCATGACGAGACTTGGTGGTTGAAGGTTCGATTTCTTTCCGATTTGTTCCAAAAATTGAATTCACTGAACTTAAGTCTCCAAGGACCTTCTGAAAATATCATCACATCAACAACGAGATTGAAGGCATTTAATGAAAAATTGTCCTTGTGGAAGAGCAAAATCTCGAAAGGAGTATTTGATTGATTTCCAACCGTCAGTCAATCTTAGCTAAAGAAGGAAATCGCCGATGAAATTTCAAATACTCCCAGTGCTCTACAATCGTCAATTCAACATTACTTTCCATCGACGAGTATGAATGGGTGATCGACCTTTTCGCAGGTAGTGAAACAGCCAACTTGATGACCGTGGAGGAAGAACAGCTGATTGATATGTGAAATAACAAATTCTATCACTCCAAACTTACTGAAACGAACTTGGAAGAGTTGTATCTTTTAGTTGAGAAATGTTTCCCTTTGATCAGTCTGAAAAGAGTCAAAATTTTATTGCCATTTAGTGGTTCTGTGAATTTGGATTTTCTTTTTTGACTGAAATCAAATCTAGGAGGAGCGAGAGGCTTCTTAGAATTGATGACGAAATGCGAACTTGCTTGTCGACTTTGGAACCACAATTTAGCATGATCTGCTCTCGTAAGCAATCTCAGCCGTCTCATTGAACATAAACAAAGAATTTCCGCTATACAAATTAAGTTTATTTTTTTGTCGCGAAAATTTTAAGATTTTCCCCGTGTGTCGATTCCCAATAAAACTTGAGAACCACTGCCTTAGGTTCATATTCACTACGAAAGAATATAAGGATAATTTTTGATACAAAGTATGACACTACTGTGACGCTACAAATAGCTTCGATATCCCTTCCAAATAAATGAGGTTCGGGTATCGCACAGCTGCTGCTTCTGACCTTTACTAAACGGATAATTACCTTGCCGGTGGATATAATTTCAAGCATAACGCATTAGAGCAAATACGTTGTTTCTCTTTTAATTAACAATAAATATAACACACGATAATAATTCCAGTCGAAACAACACGATGACAGAATCCAATTTGGACAGAAGTTGCACATAAAAATTAGAAACATATCAAAACTGTTAACAAATTACAGTATGACAGTATTTATAATTTGTCTGTAAATGAATCATCATAAAGTTTAGTTAGACGCCAGACGGTGGAAACTTAGTCCGCTGCGTTTGAGTGATCTTCAGTTTCGTCGAAGCACGCACCGCAGTGCGTTGAGAAAAGAGTATGCCGCCGTTGATCTCGTCGCAGCCTATTTGTATATATCCGATTTATAGTCGACTAGAACATCATGCAAATAAACAGAAAAGAATAAAAAGGAAACAATGGTGCATGCACAATCTGCAATTAACAGGATTTTACCGTACATCACGAAAAGAACAATTATAATCTCGTTACGTCACGTCACGCACGCAGAATCATCGCAGTCTAACTCTTGGTGCTCAGCACCAACGCAACGATCAAGCCGTAGAGGCCGAGCACCTCAGCGAAGATTAAAATCAAAATCATTCCGACGAATAATCTCGGTTGCTGAGCCGTTCCTCGCACTCCCGCGTCACCGACGATGCCGATTGCGTATCCTGCTGCCAAACCGCTGAGACCGACAGATAGACCGGCACCCAAGTGACAGAATCCGCTAAAAGATTCGATTTGAGAAATTAAGTGTGAATAACGCATATAGAATGACAGTGTTAATACAACAATACATTTGTGCTGATGATTCAGTTGAAAATACGCAAGGATTAAAAAAGCATGCTTATTGTAATACACATTTAAGTTCCGATGTGCTACACAGAACTCCTTAGCAGCAATACCACTGACTGCAGTTCTTACCCGTTGTTTATCACAAACTGCACATAGTGAATATTAATAACGGTAAATACTGCGTTACTACCAAACATCAGATGCTTAAATTCAGTGGATATTAGCATAAACAGTCAATCAGGTTCATCAGCCATTATTTTCAAAACTTCTGACCATCATCATGGCTATATTTGTTGTGCTCATCATACTGAACCATGCATAAACAGACTGTTTACAGAATTCTGAATGCCTGCGCAAAATGTCTATAGCTTGTGATGACCATCAAATTCTCAACTTCATGACAGTTTCGCCAAAAAGCATAGATTATTGCATCATGGAAGGCGGGATTTACCTATGAACCTAGATCTGATCTACCTTGTTTACGTATTCTGCATTCTTTTATCAGGGTCAGCGAGTGCTGCGGGTCAGTTCCCATATGTGAAACCAAATGGATGTAATAATGGGCTTATGGTCAACAAACCAGTCTAACAGAGTTACTTTCGATTCTTAACCTTCGCCTCTAGTGAGGATTAAAGGGCCCAAAGAAGAATAATCACCACAACACCATTAGCCTTTTCAACGCCATTACGAATCGAAAGTAGTGTCTATGTTTCCTTTGCCTAGAAAGATTTTGATGAAGTAAAGGATTCTCGTGCTATAATGGCAAATGGGCTTTCTTAGACAAGTCGCTAGCCTTACGCGTCTCGACATGGTCCGGAACAGTGACATCCGGAAGAGCCTTGGA